AATTATTTTGTGATCGAACAAAGTATTCTAGTGCAGATTCGGACGTGGATTCATAGATATTTCTCACTACAATACTACCGATGCAGTGAACTCATGTTAACGGTGTTACTGGGATTCCCTCTACATGTCAGGTACTGCGGTGCTGCTATACCCTTCGATCCTGAGCTACAAACCTTCGCTTAGTACCCACTGCCTGATTGCTACATGTGCGCTACTTCTTCAGAGACAGCCCATTTCGGTCATTTTTTTCTCGAATACCACTCGCTAATGCGCTATGTCCAGCAGTGGTCAACGAGGCGAGCAACATACACATATGTTAAAATATAGCATATAGTTAAATACCAACGCGCCCCAGACTAGCCGGTGCGATCATACGTTTTGCGCAATTCAGCCCATCGAACGATTGCCTATTAATGATTTTCACTGTTTTGTACTTTAGTCTATGCAAAAATAGTCCAAACATTGGAAAATAGTTAAAAATTTCACGCACCAGCGCATGAAAGCTGAATTCGAAACCTAAAAGGGTGAATATCTTCCTGTGATCCCCGAGTTAATAGTTTACCCGCCAAAATTTTCACGAGGCCGTAGGTGAAACCCGACAAAGCAGGAACGCTAATTTGAATAGGTACGGTTGAGCGTGGGCAAAGGGTCATTATTCTAAAATTTCAGCTTTGTAGACTTTGTGGTTCCCGAGTTAACAGTTTACCCGCCAAAATTTTCACTAGCCCGTAGGTGATACCCGGGAGCGCGGCCACTGCTGTATGACGATAGCGAGAAAAACAAGAACACGATCACTCAATTGATGTACTGAATAGATCTGTATAAGATTTAATGGACCGAAATATTCCTGTTCATCAGATTACTTTTTAATAAATTTCCACTTTTTACACGTTGAAATCGTATGTTTTTTTTTTACGCGAGGGATTCTAAATCGAACAATCCCAGCAAATCAACAAGATACGCTGTTATCTGGCTTACGATAAATGAAGAAAAAAAACGTACCGGTTCCTTTCAAGTACCCGTTTGATGTATTCATGATATGAATTGAGTAGTTCCAATTTTTGACTGTAAAGCGGCTCATCCGAACTTTTATCTCCTTCACTACCGGTTGTACTGAGCGACGGTGTAGCACCTTCTAAAAAACAAAAAAAAGACAAAATACACAGTATTACCATCGGCAATATTCCCTCCTTATTTAGGTCTCAGCCCCTCACGGGAGTAGCTCGAGTGGTAGCAAATGCCAATAGCAATCATCCGCTGATAAGGCTGTCAACAACTGCTCTTTCGCTTTCAGTTGTTATTTAAAAGCAAGCTAATGGCGGTTTTGACTTTCAGGAATGCACCGAAACGAATGAACGATTCGTGGGAGGGGCTGGTTGTGCCACTAAAAAGTTAAAGTTATTGCTTTACAATGTGAATCATTCATAAGTCTATGTACTAGGGGATTCCTAAACTAGCTCTCAGTTTTACCTAAGCAACAGCAATTTGATCCCTCAGCTTTACCTAAGCATCAGGGATTTGATCCCTCAGCTTTACCTAAGCATCAGCAATTTGATCCCTCAGCTTTACCTAAGCATCAGCTCCTCCTACGGGTAATGACCGGAACGCTGAGAAAAACGCTGGTGCGCGTGCTGGCACAATCATATAATCGGTGAAAAAAGATATATTGGCGGGGTCATTTTGTGCAGGCTAGGTGCCATGAGCAAATTTAATCAAAACAGCAATGGAAATACTACCAGCTACGCAGGTAGATTAAGGCATTTCATGATGAAACCGCAGCTGATCAAAAGGTCAAGATACTTGTCTGAGCCCTAATTCCAGTGATTAGAGGCCAGGTAAACCACAGGCGGATCTAG